CGCAGGGGTTTCAGAATAAGCCGGCGGCCGGCGAAGTTCCGCCGGCTACTTGAACTTTTACAGCCGGCTACTTTTCGTCTGGTCACAGGAAAAATTTTATATACAGTAGAACAAGCGAACCAACACGATGTTTGTTATGTTCCAATTGGAATTCAAGTTGGCCTCGAATTTCCCTGAAATCAATTGACGGCAATGGCGTTAAAAATTGCCGTAGAACGTAACAGGCAATTTTGTCAGTTTCCACGGCATTTTGTTTTTCAAATTGCTGTAATAAAAATTTAATTTTATTAATTGTTACAGACTTTGGATTGCTGACAAGCTAGAAACATGTTTACGTATTTCTTTAGTGTTTTTTTTTCGAAGAAAAGAGACTAAAATAGTAATTTACAGATGATTTGATCAACATCGGAATTCAAGTATCAAAATAGTAATGCAGTAGCACAGTGAACATGAGTTTAAAAATTATTCTATATATACGGCAAAAAATTGCCGTCATTGCCGCAATGATCCACAGCATTTTGTTCTCCCTCTGCAGCAATTGCCACGATAAAATTCAAGCCCTGAATTCAAGCAAACATCACTTATTTTGGAAGATCAATAAGATAAATTATAATACATAGTACCAAACATAGCAAAAGAAAGAGGAAGTGGTGAAGTGAAGTTTATTACGTACATAAATATAACATCATTTGATTAATGATTTCGCCATTTCGGACTCATAAAATAATTACTATTACTGTAGTGTACATTGTCATTCTGTTCATGCAGCTGTAAAAAAATAAACTACAAGTAGCACATTAAAGTACATTGTCACTTACAAGTATAAGTGGCGGACCATTTGATTTTTGAGGGAGGGGGGGGAGGTTGGAAGATTTCGAAAAAAAAAAGAGAAAGAAAGCAATCGAGGAAAAAAATATCATGCAAAAGAAAGCGCTCAAAAAAAAATTCCTACATGTAAATCTACTGACTTCTTCACTTCAGTATTGCGTCCACAGGCTTGCAAGATTTTGCATTTTTGAGCAGGCACATTTGCTTAAAAGAACACTGGGTGAACAGTGGACCACATTACAAGGGATTCTGGCGCCTTTGGAGCCTATAACATACGATAGCCAGTGGCGTTCCCTGGCAAAATTGTTGCCCCCCCTGAGAAAATCTGGGCTTAAGATATGTACAAGTTTATAAGTTATTTATACATATCTAATATGCATGGTAGAAAAAGTATTTTTGGATGGTTGAGTCTGTGTGCGTTTTTTTATAACATAGCTCCAAACTATTAAAGCTTCAAAGGCCCATCTACAGGATGCAAGTTGAACGTACTGTATATACGATGATTTTAATGCGAAAATGCCAGTTTAGAGAGTCTAGATTTTAAAAAATTCTGAAGAGGATGCAACTCGATCCCCAACAAGCTATTGGTATAAACGATTGAAAAGCTACAGAGCTATATTTGGAGGAACATTGTTGTTTCGGAGGGCAGTTAAAAATCGCATTATTGAAATCTTGTTTTATTACATATTAATCAAAGCTCATTTTGTGATTTTCCCTTGTTTAAGATAAAGGAAAGCAGCAAAGTTGTTGGACGAATCCATGGCTGAAAACGCAGGAAATAGAATTTCCGAGGTTCAAATTTTAAAATTTTCTCGGGGAAACATGCCCCCGAACCCCCCAAGGTTACAGGTCATTCATATACTGTACCTCCCCCATTTTCGAGTACTCTACTCTATCCCTGCATGCTTTAGGTTTTGGTGCAGTTATACATTTTTTGTAAGTACTGTAAACCTGCACGCTTTAGTATGGAGAACATTAAGACATAACCATATAAAATAAAGCACAGTGAAAATTCCTTGGCCCCTCTTGGGATTCAGGCTCGGCCTTCTCTGACTGAAAACCCTGGCTAACGTCTCTGACGATAGCTATATGAAAGCCTTACGTTACTGTAAGCAGTTATTATGAGGGGCAAAAAAAAAAATATCTTGCCGCGAAATACATTAGGAAAAAAATATCTTGCGCTGCACTTTTACAAGAAAAAAATATCTGTCCACCCCTAAATGCAAATGACATCTAAATCTAACATGTTAATAGTTTGTTTGCGATGTTACTCTGAGTGCATATCCACACCGGGCGAGCTTGAAAAATATGCCCGGCCACGGTGGGATTCGAACCTACGACCTTTGGAATACTAGACCAATGCTCTTCCAACTGAGCTACGCGGTCACGACGGTTCGAGTAAGTGATATTTCGGAACAGTATCTAGTTCCTTCAATACCAATGTGTTCTAGTAATATGATTTTTTTTTCTTTCTGTGTTGGTATTCTGTACTCAGGTGAATAATATGTTTGCGATGTTACTCTGAGTGCATATCCACACCGGGCGAGCTTGAAAAATATGCCCGGCCACGGTGGGATTCGAACCTACGACCTTTGGAATACTTGCACTAAGGTCGTAGGTTCGAATCCCACCGTGGCCGGACATATTTTTCAAGCTCGCCCGGTGTGGATATGCACTCAGAGTAACATCGCAAACATATTATTCACCTGAGTACACAACACCAACACAGAAAAAAAATTCATGTTAATAGTTGTACTTTGTCTTTTTACGTATTCTATATTATTTGATTGTTAATTTGCGGCAAAAATTTTTTAAATTTCCATGCGAGGGCACGCTCCCCTCCCCCCGCGGTTTTTTAACTATCAGTCACAGCCGGCTACTTTTTTGGTACAACCGCCTACTTCAAATCATACTGAAACCCCTGCCGGGGGGGGGGCAGGAAAAAAGGCAGAACGAAAAATATGAGCCATCGAGGTTTGGCGAACGGGCGAGTCTGAAGAGAGATTTTGTAAAACTTTAATTTATTAACTTAATTCAGCTATATTTTACTTTAAACAATAACTTCAACTCTTTGTAGCTATAATCGTACAGCAATAACCAGTGGCGTAGCCAAACCTTAATTTTGCGGGGCGTGGAGATCACGTCGAAGGTAGGTAGGTAGGTAAAACTTTATTTAAACACGCTTACCTCGTCAACATGGTGCTGATTTCCACGAGGGGGCGTCACACAAATAATACAAAGAAAATAATCAAGTTAGACAGTTACAATTTAAAAATATTATATACAACTATATACAAAAGTTAGATTAGCACACATATAGCACAGAATCATCCTCTAGCTTGCACCTATCTCTTTTTCGAAGCAGCCGAGAGTATCCGCCGATTTAGCTGCAGACGAAAGGTCATTCCATAACATAGCGCCACTGTACTTAAAGCTTCTTCTTAGATATTCTGTTCTAGGTTTTGGAAGAGTTAAATCATTTTCGCTATTTCTGAGATTATAGGTATTTTGTGTCACATTCCTTTTGTGAAGAGATTCTTTTAGACCCGGGGCAGCGTGGTCATTTAGCACTTTGTACATAAACACAGCCTTGGACTTATTTCTTCTATTGTCAAGTGTTTCCCAAGACAGGGTATTAAGAATGTCAAGTGACCTTATATCGTAAGTGGCACCAGTTATTACCCTTGCTGCGCGAGACTGAAATTTTTGTAGTTTGTCTTGGAGCAATTTACCACAGTTTCCCCATAGGGTGGAACAATAGTTAAAATATGGCTGCACTAGTGCTTTATATATGGTTTGTAGTGTATTAATATCAACGTACGGTTTAGCGCGTTTAATAGCCCCAATACCGGCACTTGCCTTTTTACATATTTTATCAATATGTTTTTCCCAGCTCAAATTTTAATTTCATCGATTTCTACTCCTAAGCTTTCAAAAGAATGAGTTAATAGTACTGGTTTGTCGCCAAAAAATACAGTAGCTTCACCAATCCTATTTTTAAGATTGTATGGTGATCCAATAAACATTAATTTTGTTTTAGTTGGATGGTGTTGTAACTTATTTTTGGTAAGCCAAGTGTGAATATTTTTTAGATCATCATTTAGGTTTTTGACAAGTGTATCATAATCAAATGATGATGCAAAAATTTCAGTATCATCAGCATAGAGGCAAGGGGTTGTAGATTTTAAACACTTTGGCATATCATTAATATACAGTAAAAATAATAGTGGGCCAAGAATTGAGCCCTGTGGGACTCCACATGTTATTTGTCTAGGAGACGATGTATGACCATTGACAAAACATACTTGTTGTCTCTTTGTTAGATAAGATTCAAACCATTTTAGTTCAGCCCCATAAATTCCAAATTGCTCATTCATCTTTTTTAGTAGAATAGAGTGGTCGATTGAGTCAAAAGCTTTTCTAATGTCAAGAAATACAACACCGTTTAACATGCCGTTGTCCATATTCTCTAACCACTGGTCGCACATTTGGATGAGTGCTGACATGGTTGAGTGCTTTGGCCGAAATCCTGATTGATATTTGGAAAGCAATAAATTTTGAGATAAATGTTCGTATAACTGATCAAAGACTTTTTTCTCAAATATCTTACTTATTATCGGTAGAATTGAGATAGGTCGGTAATTATAACATTTTTGCCTATCTTCAGATTTAAAGATTGGTGTTATCCTAGCCTTTTTCCATGCATCAATATAAGTACATGAATTAAGAGATAAGTTGAAAATGGCAGTTAATGATGGTGCTATTATATCTGCTGATATTTTAAGTATTTTTGCAGGTATGTTATCCATACCCGTAGCTTTTGAGACTTTAAGTTGCCTTCAACTTGTGGCGACATTGATTTGATTAATTTGAGAAAAACAAAGCGTGGGCCAAGATAACTGTTGGAACAATCTTGGGTCTCCGAGCTGTTTGTAAATTGACTGGTTGGGTCACACACTTCAGCCGCTAGCTTAGGGCCAATTTGTACGAAATATTCATTAAAGGCATCAGCTATTTGCTTATTATCTACGATAACTGAATTATTGATATGAAGTTCATTAACATTGGATGATTTCTTATTTCTGCTTAGTAAAGTATTTATCAAATTCCAGCTCTTTTTAACATCCCTACTCTGTGAGCATTCCTTGATTTTGTCACGAAAGTATACTTTTTTGGCGCTTCTCATGGCCACATTGACCCTGTTCGTTCAATTTTATACATATCCCAATGTGCCGAAGAAGCATGTTTTATTGCTTGTTTTTTTATGAAAATCCCTATTCCTCATTAACCTTTTAACATTGGATGTTATCCAAGGCACCGAGGTTCCCCTTATTCTCTTACATCGCATAGGCGCATGCCTGTCAAGTATCTCGAGGAAAATAGATTTCCAAGCTTGCCAGCATACATTAGGGTCGTCAAATTGGCATGCAATATCCCAAGGGACTTGCAATATTTCTTCTATAAAATCACTTTCAACAAAATTTCTATAGTCACGAATTTCTCTGGTAGTATGCCTGCCTGATTTTGGTACTGTTATACTTTTAACTGCAAAAATCATACTATGATCGGATATTAATTCCAAGATGGATCACACCAGAATTTGATATATTTTCTGGTTTGTTTGTTAAGAACAGGTCGATTAAAGTTGCCGACCCCCCGGTCACCCTTGTTGGCTCAATAATTAACTGGTCTAATTGATATAGAGAGCATGACAGTTGGCCGGAGTCTCCGCGTATGGGAATCTGGCACTGCCTTAGCCAAGTCACAGTTTATATCTCCAACAATCATCAATTCTTTATTTTCAAGGTCGCACTTGCGCAGAAATAGATCAAATTCGTAAAAAATATCATTATTGGAATTAGGTGGCCTATACCAAGTACTTATTAAGAAAGCCACTTTATGTGGTCTACGTACTTCAATACATATCATTTCTAGGGGTTCTGGAACTAGATCTTCCCTTTCAGAGAAAGATATAGTATCTCTAATATATAGGACCACGCCACCCCCAGATCTATTTCGATCATTGCGCACCATAATATATCCAACTATATTAATTTCATTATCGGGAATTGAATCATCAATTTTTGATTCGTTAATTGCAAGAATATCTATGGAAGAATTGGCTAGAAGTACACGTAGCTCTTCTATGTGTTTTAGCAGACTATTTATATTCAAACTTGCCATTTTAAAACCTTTTAATTTAGTTATAGCATGCAGCGGGTGGTCATAGATACCTGATGCTGTGCCATGCGTTAAGTCAGCTAATTTTTTCTTCTGTGGATGTTCTTCTGTGGTTGGACAATTACTTCCAACAGTTCTCCAAGTTTCTGAATCGTTGATCTCGGAAAATCCTGATGTCTTTGTTTCCGTGGTGAGACTGATGCACTGCCTCCCTTGAGGAAATTAATAAAGTGAACCACTAAGATGGCCGAACCTTTCGCGTTTAGATGGAGCTTACTGCCATTTAAACATGTATCATCTATAGTTGAGTTGTCAATAAATGAAATTTCCAATTTCTTACATATGTGCCCAATTTTCTTATTGACCTCTTGAATCTTTTCTAACATAGCAATATCATGACGCATCGTTAGACCAGATAGACCAATTTTCGAGTAAGGAAATTGTGTCTTGGTTTTTTTAGCGAGCTTTTCTATCTTTTGGGCACATTCTGTGGCAGATTCCAAAGGGAGATTATTTGTCCCTACGTGTATAATTACATGGGACGGGATTGGTTTTAGATTATCAAAATTAATCTCCTTCTCAATTTCAATTTCACCTGCGGTTTTTCCCGGGAACGTATATTTATGTACTTTCTTTCTTGTTAGCTTTCTAGGTTGAATATTTTTAACTATGGAATCGCCTATGATAATAACGTCCGAACCGATTTCATGGCTTTCGTTTTTCTCGTTTCCCTTAGGATGGTTATAAATACGGGTTTCTGTTTGTGTTTCGCCATCTAAGACCCCGTTTACACGGTACAGGACGAATTTGGGACCGGACGAAAATTCGTCCTTTTTCGCCTGTTTACACGTGAATTCGTCCTGTTAGAGGGTCTCAAATTCGTCCGGTTCCGTGGTTCTCGTGTGTTTACACAACCGAAACGGACAAATTTTCGTCCGGTCACAAATTCGTCCGGTACCGTGTAAACGGTGTCTAAGATATCGCTCAAGCTTTGATACTGATTTTCTGTGTTTAACACGTAGGTACTTGGTGGGTTTCCTTCACTCAGTTTTCGATTGCTACTTTTGGTTCCCTGTACCACCTGTTAATTATTAGACGTTTCAGTTGATTTATTATTTTGTCGGTTTAAATTATTAAGACAGGTTTAATAATCCTTTTGTTGTAACGTCATAGCCGTAGCGAGGTTGTCTTTCTCTTGCTCCAAATACATGATTTTCGCTTTAAGATCTTTTGTTGTGTTATTAGCTTCTTCCAGATTCGACCTTAGGAGAGCTTTTTCACTTTGGCATGTGTTCTTGTTGCATATTGTTTCGTATTTCCATTTCCATCGCGAGTTTTTGCTCGGTTTTTAAGCTGCTGTATGTCGCGTTCGACACGCTTGAGTTGAAACGCGAGATCACAGCAATAACATTGACAACTTGTGAATTTATGTCCACCCTCAACAACCGTCTCAATTTTAGAGCTGCTTGGATCATCTTGATTTGCTGTAATGTGATCAGAATCGTACTTGCCGTCGTCCGACCATGAATTCTCAATTACTTCGACCATGTTAGAATTCCCTTCGCTTCGCTTCCCTTCGGCTTCGCCGTATTGTTTGCCGTCATGAATAATAGAGACCTTAAGATTGACGTTTACGGCAAACGTCAAACCGCTAGCGAAGTTTTTGATTTTACAACTCTATTATTATAGCTTTTACACCAGTTTTGAAATATGTTAAACTTATTAAACTTGTGCTCTTTAGCAATGATTTAAGAAAGCAAATTAACCACTAGTCATGCCATTCACCAAAGCAGTAAATTAAGATTTGGCGTTTGAAGTTGGCGTTTGGCGTATAAATTTCATGCTTTAACGACTACAAGCCCTCGTAGCAGTTCAAGCATGAAATTTATACGCCAAACGCCAACTTCAAACGCCAAATCTCAATTTACTGCTTTGGTGAATTGCATGACTAGTGGTTAATTTGCTTTCTTAAATCATTGCTAAAGAGCACAAGTTTAACAAGTTTAACATATTTCAAAACTGGTGTAAAAGCTATTATAATAGAGTTGTAAAATCAAAAACCTCGCTAGCGGTTTGACGTTTGCCGTAAACGTCAATCTTAAGGTCTCTAATGACTTTATTCAACGTGGCAAATTTAGCAAGTTTTTCTCGAAGGCTTTCATTCTTATCGTCTCGAGTTATCACGAGCTTTTGCTTCTTTCTACCGTACCATTTCATAGTGTAGTTTTCACTTGTGAATTGCTTTACCTCTCCACCAGGAGACCTATTCTTTTGTAGTGGTATTTTAAGCTATTCAAAATACTCATTGTCGTGTTTTATCAGACATAAAAAATATACAAAATACTCCTACTCGTGTTTTAAGTAGTACATAGAATACGCTTTTCGCGCTTTGTCACGCCATCTTGCCGAGCGGGACAAACACAATAGAGCAACAATACCTATGGCAAATATTACCATTGGGACCATTGCAATTGCCTCACTTGGCATGCAGGAGGGCGTCGCGAACGGCGAAAGGCGTATACACATGATCGCGATGAGTTTTTTCAGATAAAATTTTCGAACGTAAATTTTTCAACATGAGCTCCACCTTTGAATTTACTATATGAGTAAATTCTTAAACACGTCCGAATTTATCATTTTCATAAGATTTTCTGGCAAGTTTTAGTTAGATTTTCTGGCGAGTTTTAAGGGACCGGTCATTAAATATGGCAAGGGGGGGGGGGGG